GTATTATTGTGCCCCACCTCATGGGCGAGGGGGACACATCAGCAGGATAGCTTGCCTATTAATATTTTACTCGTATTTTTCAAATATTCATCGGCTGTTTCTTCAGAGCTTCTTTCATCAACTCCTGCGTTTGACATTTTTCACGCGCTTATGTTCCAGACGCTGTCATTGGCCGAGTTACTCGCGCTTTCGTTCTAATGAATCTGATTGGTTAGTTTACGCGAGCTAGCGTTCCAATCCCTCTGATTGGCGGAACGTTTAAATCTTAGCAGACGACAGTCTTGAGGCTCGGCACTTCGGTCTTTGGCTGCCACTGGGTGTAGTTCGTTTAGTGTAAAAGTCTTTATTACTTTTAAGGCCCATTTCGCCTTAGGAAAAACTAATGGATTCTTTGATGGTAGGTTAATAGCAGTCTAATTATGCCGATGGAAAACTCTAGACCTTTATGTAGGCTGGAGAATGTGTTTTTTTTAAGTTAGGCCTTAGGCCTAGTTTCCCTCGTCAATCACTATGAGTGATTAGATTAGCATCATTCTTTTAGACTAGTCCTATATTTAATATTTTGTCCGGATTTCCTAACCTCCAGAACTGGCCTTTTTGTATAGGCCTATTACTACAGGTTGTTATTTTCAGCGTAATCATTCGTGGGAAAACCCCACACCCTACCTACCTTTGGGGAAAAATCCCCATTCTCACCAATTAGTGGGTAAATCCCCACTTTTATCATTTTTGGGGAAAAATCCCCATTCTCATCAATTAGTGGGTAAATCCCCGCTTTTATCATTTTTGGGGAAAAATCCCCATTCTCACCAATTAGTGGGTAAATCCCCACTTTTATCATTTTTGGGGAAAAATCCCCATTCTCATCAATTAGTGGGTAAATCCCCGCTTTTATCATTTTTTGGGAAAAATCCCCATTCTCACCAATTAGTGGGTAAATCCCCACTTTTATCATTTTTGGGGAAAAATCCCCATTCTCATCAATTAGTGGGTAAATCCCCGCTTTTATCATTTTTGATGAAAATCCCCATTTTCATCAATTTGAATTACTGGGTAAATCCCAATTTGGTCGTTTTTGGGGAAATAATCCCTACTTTTTAGCACTTTTGGGGAAAAACTATAGGAATACAATCTTGCTTGCAGCAAGTGTAAGGGCGAAGGGTGGTAAAAAAAAAGGGTCATTTATTTAACATATAATAGACCTATATAGTTATAGTAGTATTTAGTGTCTTATATTAAATTAACTTAATATTGTTGGCCTATTAGGCCTATTTTATTATAATTTATGCAATTTGTCGCCTAATTTCTTCATTATACATTGCTGAAGACAGTAGAGTCTATAGTCTATAGGCCTATAATAAATTAATTGTTTTTATATATGTAATAAAATTTATTAACTTTTAACTTTTGTTTGTCTTATTCTTTTGGTTTAGCGCTAGGCTGGAGCGAACCCTATTTTATTTACGTTCTTTGTTAAGGGAATCGAGGAACCGTAACATTGGTGTCAGAAGTGGGATCAGACCACAAAATTCCCTTAATATTATTACAAACTCCAGTACTAGTGTGCCAAAAGAATAAGTCAATAGTTAAATCATAATTAAAAAATATAATCAAACGCACCTGAAATAAAGAAAAACGTTTCAGTTTATTGTGATATAGTTAAACAAAAACCAAGGAAAAAAAAAAAAAAAAAACAAATCCCTGAATAATCAGGATCCTTCAAAATGGCAACTTTGGATGATACAGAAGTTATCATTAATAATAAAAATAGTGCTGTAGCAAACCCAACTAGTGAGGGCCAGAATGAAAGTGTACAAAGGGAGAATTTATCCCAAAATTTAAATGAATCACTTCAGTCTGTCGAAAGTGACCGTCCCAGTAGTTTGATAAATAACAGCACAATCTTAGATCAAATCAGCCAACAATTGGAATATCTAAGAAGCGAGAACCATAAAGGGTTGGTTGAAATGAAACAAGAAATAAATGTTATTAAGAAGGATTTCAATGCTTTGTCTTGTGAACTAAATGGGTTTCGTAAAAGTGCTAGACTTGAACCGAATGGCATAGTTAGGGATGTATTTCCTGAGGGTGATTTTCAAAGTAGTTCTCCCATTACGCAATCAAACCAAAATGATAATCATTTGAGTTATCCACGTTTTAATAGTAGAACTCATGAAAATAATCATTCTGTTAAAATGAGGCCCCATCAATATGATGGCTTAGAAGATTTTGAGGAGTACCTTTCGCAGTTTGAAATTGTTTCAAGCATAAATAGGTGGAGTTATAATGAAAAATCCTTGTATTTAGCCAGCAGCTTAACTGGTAATGCCAGAGCTATTTTGACCGAACTCGGTCCTCTGGAAAGAAAAGACTTCAATACTCTTGTTAGGACTCTCAGTATTAGATTCGGCTCACTTGAACGGTCAGAAATGTATCGAGCCAGACTACAAACTCGTTGTAGAGGAAAGTCTGAAACTCTGCCTGAATTGGCCCAGGCCGTTCGTAAATTAACACGGCAGGCTTATCCTACAGCTGATTCTTCGCTCACTAACATCTTGGCTCTCGATCATTTCGTTGATTCCATCCAAGACTCAGACATGAGGTTGAGAATACGAGAACTACGTCCAAAAGATATTAATGAGGCTGAAACACATGCCATTCGGTTAGAAGCGCATAGACTCGCTGACAGGCAACGAGGACGTTCTGTGCATCAAATCAGTCCGGAGCCCGTTTCTGGGTGTCACTCTCAAAGCCAATCAGTGCCTGAAAAATATAGTGAGATAGATATCAGAACACTAAATAGATCAATCAATACGCTAGATAATACGACCAGACAGCTGGTTCAAACCTTAAGTAATAATAAATCATATTACCAGCCGCCTAGGCAAAGAAATGTTTGGAATGGGGGCAGTAGTAGCAGTAACAATTATAATAAGCAATACCAGACAGGCACTGATAACAACAGAGGCAATAGTTATGTGCCACGGGATCAAAGGAGAGAAAATAATTGGGAAATAAGGGGAGGTAACTCCGGTGAACCCCACCGCCCACAAGATCAAAAGAGGAACTGGGAAAGACCTCAGTCACCTCAAAAGTCCCAGGACCAACGCAATAATTCAAGTAGGTCGGGAAACTAAATGTCGTTGGACTTGCGAGTCAAAGTTCAACGGGTGACATAGATGACTCACTTAATAATAAATCAAATGATATAGTGATAAGTAGTATTTCAAATGACCATAATGGCTTGTTTGTACATGCCAAAGTGGAAAACCTAGATGCCCCATTGTTAGTGGATACAGGGGCAAACATTAGCATACTTTGTGAAAAATCCATACAAAAGCTAAAAACTATGTGTGAAGTACATATTGAACCAGTACAACTAAACCTAATCACTGCTACGGGGGAAAGAGAACCGTTCTTAGGGAAATGTACTGCAAATGTGATTATTGGTGCACATAGTTTTAAACATGAATTTCTTATCGCAAAAATTACCAATTTTGGTATTATCGGAATCGATTTCTTGACAAAGCATAACATAGATATTTTAATTATGAAAAATTGTTTATCAATAAAGGGGGATGAAGTGCCATGTTATAGATATCAAAAGGGAGATAATCAATGTTGTTGCAGGGTCTCTGTGGCAGAAGATATAGTGATTCCTCCCAATAGTGAGATTATGATTATGGGTAGGGTGATAGATCCTATACCTCATGAGAGGACCACAATCATTGAACCTACTGAGAATTTTACGCAAAAACATGATATTTTAATGGCTAAAAGCATAGTAAACCCAAAGTGCGGGACTGTCCCAATCCGTTTACTTAATGTAAATGAGGCTGAACATAAGATTTATAAAAATTCAATTGTGGCGACCATGGAGGTCATTGATACATGTATGGATTGTCCGATTGATTGCAGTGTAAATGAAATATTAGCAGATAAATCGAGTTTATCCGAAAATAATGACATACCTGAGCACCTGTTGGAATTGTACAATAAGTCTTCCGTTGATCTCGAGGAAAGCCAAAGGCTTGCCCTGAAAAATTTATTAATAAAATATAAAGATGTGTTCTCAAAGTCGTCAGGTGATCTAGGCTTGACTGATTTAGTTGAACATGAAATTGATACAGGACTTAATCCCCCAATTAAACAGCATCCCCGTAGGATCCCCATAGCTAAGGTCGAGGAGGTTGAAAAAGAGCTAGAGGATATGATTAGTAAGGGAATAATTGAGCCCTCATGTAGTCCATGGAGTAGTTGTGTAGTATTAGTCAAAAAGAAAGACAATAGTCTGCGTTTCTGTTTGGATTTCCGTCGTTTGAATGAGGTGACTGTGAAATGTAGCCATCCAATACCTAGAATAGATACAACACTTGACGCTCTATCTGGAAATTCTATATTTTCCACCATTGATTTGCGTTCAGGGTATTGGCAGTTAAAAATAGCGGAGAAAGACCGACCGAAAACGGCCTTCGCAATTCAAGGCGGTGGTTTATATCATTTCAATCGCATGGCGATGGGATTGTGTAATGCAGCAAGCACTTTTGTTCGTCTCATGGATAGAGTTTTATCTAAATTAACATGGAAAATTTGCATGGTCTATCTCGATGACATTATTGTTTTTGCGAAAACATTCGATGAACATGTGGAAAATTTAAACCTAGTGTTTCAAAGGTTAAAAGAAGCTAATTTAAAAATGAATCCCAATAAATGTGCAATGTTTAAGAAAGAGGTGTCTTTTCTGGGTCATGTGGTCAGTGAACATGGCATAGCCACTGATCCTGAGAAAACTCTTGCAGTTCAAAACTGGCCCATTCCTACTTCTGTGAAAGAAGTTAGATCATTTTTGGGGCTATGTTCGTATTATAGAAAATTTGTATCAAAATTTGCAGACATAGCAAAACCATTGCATAAACTCACTGAGAAAACCCAGAAATTTGTTTGGGGGGATGAAAGTCAGAAAGCATTTAATAATTTAAAAGATGCACTTACCAGTCCACCTATTCTGTCATTTCCACAGCCAGAGGGCTTGTTCATTATCGATTCTGATGCTTCAAATTTTGGGGCTGGGGCTGTTTTATCTCAGATTCAATGTGGCACTGAAAAAGTTATTTCATATTATAGCAAGGCATTCAGTAGAACAGAACGCAAATATTGTGTGACTAGAAGAGAGCTATTGGCAATTGTGCTATCAATAAAACAATTTCACCATTATTTGTATGGGCAGTTTTTCAGAGTGCGCACAGATCACGGAGCTCTGACCTGGCTAATAAATTTCAAAAATCCTGAGGGTCAGTTGGCTAGATGGTTCGAGTTTTTATCATCATATCATTTCAAAACGGAGTATCGTGCAGGGCGTGTCCATAATAATGCAGATTCGCTTTCCAGGAGGCCATGTATCAAACAATGTGGGCACTGTACTCGAGCTGAGCAAAATTATACCCATGATGCTAACCCTGATAATCAAATTTCACCCTGTGATGTGTCTGTTAATGCCCTGTCTAATGCTGCGGAAAGCCAATGTGCCTTAAATAAGAATCCTCTCAATGTTCGCCCTGAAAGTAAAGATGTACAATTAGATATGTCGCAATTACTAGAGCCAGCGGGTCAAAATATTATCAATTTTCAAGAAAAAGACCCAATTATTCAAATAGTCAGTTTGTGGGTTAAGCAAAATAAAAGACCGCCTTGGGCTGATATTTCACTAGAAAGTGAGAGCTTGAAATATTACTGGATGCGCTTTGATTCTTTGGTATTCAAGGATAATATTCTTTGTTATGAGTGGGAACCAGATAAAGGGAGACAACCCCATTTTCAGATAATTTTGCCAGATTGTCTTAGGAAATTAGTCCTTGAAAACCTGCACAATGGGGTTTGTGGAGCACATTTGGGCAGAAAGAAAACTCTATCAAAAATAAAAGAGAGATTTATTTGGAATAATATGGGAATTGACATCAAGCATTGGATTAAAGCATGTGATTATTGTTCTGCTCGAAAATCCAAGGCTAAAACTGCTAAGGCCCCATTAAAAAAATATAATGTGGGTATTCCAATGGAGCGTTGGGCACTAGACGTCATTGGACCATTACCGGTGACTGAAAACGGAAACAAGTATATTTTAGTAATGGCAGACTATTTCACTAAGTGGGTCGATGCAGTACCGATGAAGGACCAAAAAGCGCACACTGTAGCCAATAAATTTATAGATCGGGTGGTCAGTATTTTCGGAGTGCCTATGGAGCTCCACTCCGATCAGGGGTCAAATTTTGAGTCACAAGTGTTTAAGGAAATGTGCACCATATTAGGTATTACGAAAACACGTACTACTGCCTACAGACCCCAATCAGATGGGATGATTGAGAGGGCAAACCGTACGATTGAAAACATGATATCTTGTTTCATTGCAGAAAACAAAAAAAACTGGGATAGCCACTTAAATTTGTTATTAACTGCCTATCGTTCTGCGGAACACGAGTCTACTGGCATTAGTCCAAATCATATGGTCTTCGGACGTAAAATAAACTTACCTGTCGATCTGGTTCTTGGTAGAGTTCCACCTGAAGTAAATCAAAACAAGTCAGAATATGCATATCAGTTGGCAGAAAGATTAAAAACAATTCATGAATTCGCACGTAAAAGATTAAAGATATCAGCGGATAATATGAAACGGAACCATGACCGTAATATTCTGGTTAATAAATATAAGGAGGGAGACCGTGTGTGGATTTATAATGCCCGATGTAAAGATGCAGGCAATAAATTAAGCCCTGCATGGGAGGGTCCTTGCGTTGTGTTAAAACCAATCAATGACGTACTGTATAAAATTCGAAAGTCTGTGACTTCCGTACCTAAGGTCATCCATCACAATTTGTTAAAACCATATGTGGGCAATTCTAATCATTTGGGATATAAACACTAAATAATAATAGTAATAAACAAAAGCAAACAAACAAACCTTTGTAACAATCACTTTTTGAATAACGGTCATCTTCATTATGTATTTCAGATCACACGTTTTAATTGTGGTATTTGCAATGATAACCGAGAATATCTACGGATCAGCCATTGCGAAAGACACATTATCAGTAGCCATTCCGGCTTTGGGTACAAATGTAGCCAATGCAAGAATGTGACCAACCGTCCTGATATAAAACACCCTGGATGCCCACGTGCCACCATGGAGAGGGTGAAAAGAGCCAACATGCGGTACGGTGTTAAGGAAAAGGCAGAATACCAAGATTTTGTGAAGAACATGAGGAGTGATGTTAAATCTATTAGGCGTCAAGCCAGATCAGAGTCAGAGAGACGCGAGGCCAGAGCTGCGGCTGTGCCTGAAGTGGTACCTCCGAAAACCTCTGAGAATCCCAGTACTATTGTTCCCAAACCACTTTTTGTTTCTCCTATCCGCATAAACCGTAAGCGGTTGAGAACTGTTTCCTCTTCATCCTCATCTTCTTCGTCGTCGGCCCTGTCTGACGTGTCGTCGGCATCCATTCCAAGTCTGCGGGATAGTTCGGCACCACAAGAGGTACCCAAATCATCTAATAATAATGCTTCGACAGAATCCAGTTGTGTGTTAAAAGCTAATCATCAGCTAGAGAAGATGGCAGCTAATAAAGGCAAAACTGTTATTTTGGACGTGGGGGGGACTGTATTTAAAACTTCTATGGCAACGTTGAAGTCCCATCAGGAAACTCTCTTCTATCACTTGGTAAAGGAGGACGCCCCTATCAAGGCAGATAAGAAGGATGGTCATTTTTATTATTTCATTGACAGATCACCAAAGCATTTCGATCTTATTCTCACCTTTTTAAGAGGGGATGTTGGAGCCCCTGCCTCTAAAATGTCATTGCCATATAATTATCAATCCCTTTATGAATTGCTCAGTGAGGCCCAATTTTACGGAATTACTGACTTACAGTCTTTTATAAGTCAAAGATTGCAGGAGATTTAAGGCTTCCTGTCTGTGAATGTGATCGTACAATGAAGTCGACTTGTATGTTCTTGTTAATTAGTGCTGCTATTATTATATTATTCATTATTGTTCCTTGTTCACTAATTATCTTGCCTGCTCGCAGGAGTTCGCCTTTAAAGGTGGTTTTACGGTGTTTGCCGTCACATGCTTATCTGAAATGGAATTCATATATATTTTTTTAATATTTAAGTTACAAATGTCACTTTTAAGTGCAAAACTAGTAGAGGCGTTAGTCTTGCAAAATTTTTTTTGGTTATTCTGCCAGACTCGCGTTAAAACGATGCAGTACTCAACACTATAGCTTTGCCTTGGTTTAATTTACTCATTCGGGACGAATGTTTTTCAGGGGAGGGGGCAATGTTACGCGCAGGCAAAGCTCATAGTGCTGATTCAGTCTATGTTAGTATTACTAACTTATTATGCTTAAATCGCCTGTAATATGTGCCACTCAGGTGGATAATCAGTATTGTTTTCTTTGTAACGTAAGATATTTAAATAGGCCTAGCCTATATAGTCAATTCAGTTATAGATGCATCAACACTGTTATAAGTTTACGAGCATATATAATTATTATTTTACTATTAAAATCATTATTATATATATATATAATGCTACCAAAAAGTCATAGTGATGACAGTATTCAGCTTCAATTATTTAAAGTTTATCGGCTGTTCATTCATTGCCAGCCTTTCGGAAGTGTCAAATGGAGGCAAACCGCGTGCGTTCAATGTCATAAAATTAACGTGTGAAAACTACTTTACCCCGTTCCTAATTCAGCTTGTCAGTTTTCAATAATGCGTATTATTGTGCCCCACCTCATGGGCGAGGGGGACACATCAGCAGGATAGCTTGCCTATTAATATTTTACTCGTATTTTTCAAATATTCATCGGCTGTTTCTTCAGAGCTTCTTTCATCAACTCCTGCGTTTGACATTTTTCACGCGCTTATGTTCCAGACGCTGTCATTGGCCGAGTTACTCGCGCTTTCGTTCTAATGAATCTGATTGGTTAGTTTACGCGAGCTAGCGTTCCAATCCCTCTGATTGGCGGAACGTTTAAATCTTAGCAGACGACAGTCTTGAGGCTCGGCACTTCGGTCTTTGGCTGCCACTGGGTGTAGTTCGTTTAGTGTAAAAGTCTTTATTACTTTTAAGGCCCATTTCGCCTTAGGAAAAACTAATGGATTCTTTGATGGTAGGTTAATAGCAGTCTAATTATGCCGATGGAAAACTCTAGACCTTTATGTAGGCTGGAGAATGTGTTTTTTTTAAGTTAGGCCTTAGGCCTAGTTTCCCTCGTCAATCACTATGAGTGATTAGATTAGCATCATTCTTTTAGACTAGTCCTATATTTAATATTTTGTCCGGATTTCCTAACCTCCAGAACTGGCCTTTTTGTATAGGCCTATTACTACAGGTTGTTATTTTCAGCGTAATCATTCGTGGGAAAACCCCACACCCTACCTACCTTTGGGGAAAAATCCCCATTCTCACCAATTAGTGGGTAAATCCCCACTTTTATCATTTTTGGGGAAAAATCCCCATTCTCATCAATTAGTGGGTAAATCCCCGCTTTTATCATTTTTGGGGAAAAATCCCCATTCTCACCAATTAGTGGGTAAATCCCCACTTTTATCATTTTTGGGGAAAAATCCCCATTCTCATCAATTAGTGGGTAAATCCCCGCTTTTATCATTTTTGGGGAAAAATCCCCATTCTCACCAATTAGTGGGTAAATCCCCACTTTTATCATTTTTGGGGAAAAATCCCCATTCTCATCAATTAGTGGGTAAATCCCCGCTTTTATCATTTTTGATGAAAATCCCCATTTTCATCAATTTGAATTACTGGGTAAATCCCAATTTGGTCGTTTTTGGGGAAATAATCCCTACTTTTTAGCACTTTTGGGGAAAAACTATAGGAATACAATCTTGCTTGCAGCAAGTGTAAGGGCGAAGGGTGGTAAAAAAAAAAGGGTCATTTATTTAACATATAATAGACCTATATAGTTATAGTAGTATTTAGTGTCTTATATTAAATTAACTTAATATTGTTGGCCTATTAGGCCTATTTTATTATAATTTATGCAATTTGTCGCCTAATTTCTTCATTATACATTGCTGAAGACAGTAGAGTCTATAGTCTATAGGCCTATAATAAATTAATTGTTTTTATATATGTAATAAAATTTATTAACTTTTAACTTTTGTTTGTCTTATTCTTTTGGTTTAGCGCTAGGCTGGAGCGAACCCTATTTTATTTACGTTCTTTGTTAAGGGAATCGAGGAACCGTAACAGCAGCAATAGAATTTGGCACTTTCTTTACAAGTGTATAAACAATTTTGCTTTTCAAGTGGCGGATTGTATCGTTTATTTGTAATGACTTACTTTGAGTCTTGTATTACTTATAATTTTAAGAGGAGAGGATTGTTTGTTGTTCGCCTTGTATTCTTACCTTTAGTATAATTGCTGTTAAGACTTGTTTTATAGAGTATAATTTTTAATTTTATGGGGACTATTTCTTAATTATAGTTAATAATTTTAGAAGAAAATGATTATTACCTTAAGAATCATTTATAATTTTAAGAGAAGATTATTTTGTTGTGTTTTTACTAATGTTAGTCTCGTCTAATCTGTATTTTTATACGCTCGCACTTTAATGTGGTGTGGGCGTATTATGCGGTTAGCCCTTTCAGTCCGAACATCAGCAATTGTCTTGTGAAAACCAGATAGAGGCTATAGTTTTAAGGGTTTTCAGGGTGTAGAGATATAGCACCTAAAAAGGCCGTTTTATTGTAATAGCTATTGTCTGGCATATAACCGCGCTTAGTGTTTCTATTTTAAGAATTGGGTTTCAATTGTTTGCAAATGCATCACAATCATACTTATATAATTTTAATTCCAGATCACAAAAATATGTGGCAATAAACTTCTTGTATTTTCTCAATTATTATTATAATCAGACATGGATATTTATGCTTCTGACATTTGTGCATGAAAAAAAACAGGAGGTTTATATGCATGATGTATATCAATCCATTCCGGAGTTTTTAAATGGAGTGATATTCCAAAAATACACAGCATAGCGTAACATTTTTATTTGTAATTCAATAAAGTTAATATTATTATCGATGTGTTCTTGTTCATTGTAATTTCGTAATTAACAGCAACTAGTCCTGTATTGTAAAACTGCTTTATGGGAAAGAAAAGAAAGAACCCCGAACGTACCCATATATACAAATATACATTTTTTGTTTTTATAAAATAATGTTATTTGCCTAGCGGGTCGAGCAAGCAAGCCCGGGCGGCATCACACTTTATATCAACCCCATGAAATTTTGAAAATTAGACCATCGCAAACACTGTTTCCTGCATTCTGGGATAGTAGCGGACAGGGCAGGAATCGAAAATCGAAAAATGCGCCAACACATATAAAACCTTTAGTTATATAGATAGTAAAATTACATGTATTTCAATATAACTGCATATTTCCAGTAGGAAGAGCAAAGGTAGTATATAAAAGCGCAGTATTAAACTTCTTTGAAGCTTGACATGTGCATTTTATGTTTATGACCAGCCCAGAATAGTTCTGCAAGTGTAGTATTACGAGAACCCTAAAGAGGATAAATAAATGCACATAGAGAATTGACATCATAAACAGTGTTTATCCCGAGAGGCCGTTCTATTGTATTCAAGGCATATTTTTAATAAATGCCAATAGAAAAGGTGGGCGTGCATCCCACCCCACCCAGTATCCGGATTCATAATTAATTGCTAATTGTTTGTCAATTTTTCACTTTTTTGACTTTGCATTTCCTATTTTCAGAAACGAATGAATTGCAGAAAGTACTGGTATTTACATCAGGATTTGACAGTATTCCCCCCCTTGGATTTCAACCAACATTAAATCTTTCATTTAAGCATCCTAAAAACGATAATGATGCATATCCCTTTGCAAACACATGTGCAAATTATTTAAAAAGCCCTTTATGTTTGGTTTTGTTAATTGACAAAGAAATTTGCTTGCTTTTTAATTATTATGTGTTTGTAATCAGATATTCCTGTGCTTTATTTTCTGTTATTTGGGAGAGTCACAGTGGCTCAGTAAGCAAGTTTGTTGCCCGATGTCAGAGATGCAGAACGGGTGGTATGGAAAACAGTAGGCTGTAACAGGCTGTACTGGCAAAATTTCTCTCATAGCACACTGTATGGCTATGCATAATCATAAACCTTCTTGATAAAGAAGTGTACATTTTGAATCTAATTCCAGTGTAACTAAACAGGTTTTGAAAGTACAAGTGTCTGTAACACACATAAATTTTAATTTGCCCTAGTGTCACTGAAAATGTTGATATAGCTCGACAGGCCTTACTCATCCAAAACCTCCCCCATTCTGATTTTATATACAAGAAGTAAAATGTAGTCATTGCGCATGTAACTAAGTATCAACTTCCGAGGTGAGAGTCGCCGTTAAGTTAGAGCGACGAAAAAGTCGCTGATATTTTCGGCGACTTTTTCATCGCGTGGCTTTACGGCGACTCTCGTGTTGTGAAAGTCGTAAGTCGCCGTTTACCGGCGATCTCGTGTTGTACCTAGAAACACGCTGATCTCGTGGGATCAACAGTTGCAAAGAGAAGGGTTAAATCTTAGGCCTAAATTCGAAGCCAAACTAGAAGAACTTTATTGAAAAAGTTAAAGGCCCAACACCTTGGATTTCTTCATGTGTTGTCGTACCTAAATCAAATGGCAATGTAAGACTGCATTGATATGAGGCAGGCAAATACTGCAATTATTCGAGAGATGAATCCTATACTGACTAGACAAAATTCTACAGGATATAAATCAAGGCACTGTTTACGGTAAACTTGACATTTTATCTGTTTTCCATTAGATAAAGTTACACAAAGAATCCAGGCCCATTTTAACAAGGTTTGTAACCTATAAAGGACTATGTAGATGGGTCATTACATGAAGTTGACACTTTGTTACCAGCTTCCATGGCAAGACGAACATGAGCTGCTTAGGCATGCCTGATTTGTTGATGTGGTGGCTAGAGAAGCAGCCTCTTTTGAAGATGTTGTCTTTTTCCATATAAGATACAACCATCTCTTGCCCTACACCACCCCACAAGATAATCAGCTTCTGGATGACACAGATATTCCTGCCTCTGTATGGGACAAGGCTGCTGTGAAGGAAGGAGGGCAGGAAGAATACTTTCGCATGGATGTCATCTGGGGTTTTCTTGGGCATATGGTCCATGCTGGAGGAAGATCTAGATTTGCCAAATCGTAAGTTAGCTTGGGACCAGGCAGGTTAGTTGGGAGTTGGCACCCAAGGGTGTCAAGCCAAGCTAGGACCATGGCTCACCTGAACACAAGCTAATTATGGAGTCTTAAGTTTTGTACATATGTTTAAAGAAGAAAAAAAGTATTATATGAAGTTTAAACCAGTGTTGTCGTCAAGAACCTGACTTAAAGACCCAATACTGTAACAGAATACAGTGTTATAGATTAGGGTTAAAAGGCGATCAGAAGACAAATTATAACAAAGAAAAGCTCGGGAAGAGATGATATAGCTTTGTCCTATATAAGGTCTTATCTCCCCTGGGCAAAATTTTCTCCCCTGAGTAGCTGTAAATGACACCACTTCCATAGAGTATTGTCAACTAGGTGTCATGAAAATCATTCACTGGAACCGAATAAACTTGAATTTGAATTTATTGAAAAGTTACCTGTGCAACCATGGAGAGTATGTGACAGGGAAAAAAGCAGAGTTAGTGAAGCAAGCGATAGGTGCAAATTCTTTGAAGAAAAAAACATTAGAGGAGTTGCGTTTAGAAGACGAAAACAGAGGACATCAAAGGCGACTGGAAAGATTTATTTCACCACTCGGAGAGGTTCTTCTAGATCCCATAAGTTTAAAAGATGGTTGGAGTACTGATACTAGACCAGGGATGTGCCTACTGTTACAATTACCGCCCGGCATCAATATTGTCCGGCAAAAATATCTTGAAGTAGATTTCCGCCCACCTCCATCTTCTTGTAAATAAAGATAATCTAAATTGGTAAAAGCGTTTTTATTTGTTGCTTTTAAGGCCGTCGTTCGCACTTCATTTGGTGAATTTTAACAATAAAATCGTTTTTGAGGTTTTA